ATACGCGGCAGAAGAGGGCAATTAGCTCCTTCCAAAAGACATTCGCGGAACAAGTCGTCCCGCCCTGTCCACGTCGACAACCCGAGAGAGTCCTCTCCAGTGTTTCGCCGGACTGTGACACCCAGAACTATGAAGACCACCTCATCCAGATGGCGAGGAGCCAAAGAACTTCTCCCCTACGCACCACAACTCCCGGTCTGGGCCCTCGATCCGTGAGGTCGTGTCGGTCTTGATTCGGTCGGAACCAAATACCACCCATGCTGATGGTTCATCTCCAGCCAATATGATCCTAATTACACCCAAATGGGAACACTCCTTTCAGTTGACGGTAATCTAGAAGTAGCATGTACACATCTATCTGTCATTCATTATCTCATCAAGATCGACTATCATCCACTTCTCCCTACTGTCCTCCATTATCATATGTCTTGCATATTCACTATCTACTCGATTTGAGCGGACCGATCACCTTCGTTTACCTAATTCTGATGCATAGCAAGCCTACAAGTGTCTAATGCATAATTTATCAAGACTAATAATCGGATTCACTGAATATCTTTCAATAGTAAGTGTAGATAATATTGCTCTGGTTCATTGTTCGTCAAGTTGCTCCCAGTTTCAACGCTCTATCGCACCATCTGTCCCACAGCAAACTCCTAAAATGAATTAGCCGCTCCTCGTCTACCAGGCTGAATGAGCACATACCGGAAATGCATCTGAAATACTTGCTGCAACCCGTTCCACATCCTCCGCGAGACCCTGCACCCCCGCATCCCACTGTCGGATATGTCGTCCCGTTGCAGTTGCCGACCCGCCCTCGCTCGAGTCAAAGCAGATCACACCGGCGATTTGGTCAATGCTACCGTTCAGTCGACCCTGCTCGACCATTCGAGCCGCGTAGGCCTCCGCCTTTTCGCCCGCCGTCATGTCTCCGCTCTCCTGAAGACCCAGGATCGCACCCAGTGCGTCCGTTGTGATGTTCTCGTAAAGCTTACTGGCGGCGACGAGATTGTGTTCGACGACAGCCTTGTCAAGCACTGTGGTCCCGTCCGCCGTCCGAGCCAATTGGTGAGGAGCTAGTCGTTCAGAGAAGGCAGCAATCTCGGCCGGATTCAGCAGCCTATCCAGGAACATCTTTTCAAGGATCCCGAACTCCTCAACGGAAGTCGCACGGTCGTCCTTGTACAGCGTAGCGAGGATACGAGAGCGTTGCGGGCCTGCCGGGGCAAGGACCGCACACCGGATCGCGGCAGCAAGCGCCTGTAGCCGATCGCTCTCGTCCACACCACCAGCCAAACTGACGTTGAAATATTCCTGGCTCGCATCCAGGAATCGCCGTCGCGCATCGAGGATCCGGGCCTGAGACAGCTTGAAATGGAGTTTCAGCTCGTGGTCCTCGATCTTGCTAGGCAGGTTCTTGATCCTGTTCAGGAACGCCTCTGCGTTGGTCGTATCGTCCTCCTCCAGGTATAGTCGTACAATCCGGATCCATAACCGCACCTTGGCAGCGTCCGAGACGAGTCTCTGCGAGCTGTCGATATGGATGCCCTGTAGTGCGCGTGCGGCTGCCGCGTAATCCTCCTGGGACTCGTATGCGTCTGAGAGAATCTCACGGATCTGGGAGTCTTGCTCCTCGACCGATGAAGAGCGAGATTGGAGCAGTGTTACTGCATGCTGGCCGACTTTGATCTGGGTTTCTGGTGTGAGTTTCTGAAGGACGGCGATGAAGGAATCGAGGAGCGGTCGGGCCGCTACGATGCTGATTTCTTCACTGAGTACCGAGTCAAGATAGTAAATTAGGTCTTGGCCAAGCTCGTGCTCGGACGATGTGGATGTGATCTCGGAGAGAAGGTTGTTGTACTGCTGGAGCTTGGTCTGTGGGTTGGTGGACGACTCGATCTCCGCGAGTGCGGAGGCGATTCTCTGAGATGCCATAAGGGAGTGTGTTCGTCGATGGAAGGAAGTGCAAGTCTAATCAGTCAATGAGCTGATTCAATAGCAATGGAGTATTCAATTAGTGAAGCAGATGCGAGAAGAAGAGCGCTTGCTGGGTTGAAAGTGACGCTTGGCCAAATAGTGGGCCTCGTAGTTGTTGGAGCTCCGCTTATCGATAAGGCTGGTGTGCTGGGGACATGCAACAATACAACATGAACCGTCACCTTGGGTAGATGGAAGAAATTGATGAACATACTATGACTCGATCTCAAGCAAGTTCCAGATCAAGATCTACTCTGCGATTTCACATCCTATGTCCCAGTTGCGAAAGACCGTGTCTGTATTCATACCCCTCTTCTAGCTTTCTACAGAATACTGTTAAAGATGTTTCTCTAATGAGTCGCAAAATGTCGGACTCAAGCCAGACTCAATCGTTCAGCTGGGCTGAAAACATGCTCTGGCACACTAGCATCCGCTAAGCCGACGTCTTCCCGCCTTGACTTGCTGCGTATATGAAGCTTTTGTTGACTCATTGATCTGCGAGATGGCAGCAGAGCCGCTCAGAGCCCGAGGCTATCACCGCGTCCACTGTAAATACCAGAAGCCGAAGCACACAAGTAAAAAAGTCCAGCAGATCCTCCAGAATCAACTTGTTTATCACTGGAGCGACAGTGTTCTCCTAACTGGAAAAATCTCGCGCCGTGACAGGGTAGCAACTAGTTCTTTGAAGCTGGCGTGACGGATCATGGGGGCCTTAAATTCTATTTGGGGCCATTGTTTCATCAAGAGTCACAAATGCGAGTTGTGAACAGACTGCTGCGGCACCTGAATGTGTCAGAACAAGTAGACAGGCATAGTTCATTGCTACTAGTATGACCTTGGTGGATGATAACACTGTTCAATCACTGGTGAGCTCATCCATTGTGCTGAGAGGGCTTTCATCAGCTAGCCATGATCAGCATGCACAGTAATATACAAAATCTGTGCTTCTGCAAAGGACATTCAAATGAAGCTAGATATAGGTGGTTAAACGCTGAAATGTTTATCGAGGGGACTGTTTTGTGTCTTTGTCTTCAAATAGTCACAACAGCGCCACCGCCTTTGTGGACCCGCTCTTCGGCAGCTTTCTTTGCTCTCAGCGGCTGCATGGCGACAAGCTTGAACATCACGTCACTTAAGACTTCGATACCCTATACAAACCTTGATACGTCCACTCGTTTCTCACAATACACAGGTCGCATGATTTGATATTGCTCGCTGGAGGATTTTGAGAGTCTCACGCCTTTGCTCGAGGAGGATTCGGCACAATGTTTGCCCAGGTCAAGCAGGACCCAGACGCCCCGACGCCTTACATCAAGCCGGACCCCGATAACAAAGACTCTATACTTGCTGATATCGACGAGGATATTTACGATGATGATGGGGATCTAGACTTTTCAAACGCTGGGCAGAATGTGTGGCTTTCGCGCATTCCGCGATCGCTCTGGGAGCATTGGGCGAGCCTCGATGACGATGAAGAGATACAGATTGGAACGATGAGAATAGAGGGCCAACCGAATGATATCAAACGGGTAAGCTCTGGGGATTTTGAACTTCATCTCAGTATCTTTTTGTTACCGGCTCGGTCGTAACAAGTGCTCTCTGTAGGTCAGTATTCGTCTCAACGAACGAGAAGACAATCGCGATATCCCCAAGGACTACATACTGCAGCGACAGACCATCAACACGGGGAACGTAACATCACATGCGACACAAAACACCTATCTATTTACGGAGAAAGACATACCTGGGCATGAGAATCGCATGGTAGTTTTCGGAGAAGCACGGTCGGCATTATACGAAGCCATGAAGCGCGATGCGAGGAAAAAGGAGCGCAGGAAGAAATGGGAGCCATATGTGCGGAGAACGGTGCCGAGTACGTTTATATTGCTCTTGGAAGTAGAAAACGCTCTACTGACACTGCAACAGAACAAACCGCCCTCGTGGGAGGCGTCAATGAAGAGTTTAATTGCCTTCCAGTCGAGAACGAGGAATTCCGACGGTTGTCAGAAAAGAAAGCTCTTGAAGCACTCAAGCCCAAACGCGAAACCGTCTTCATTGATAAGGTTCCAGGCAAGCTTCTCCAGGCGAGAAATGTGTTACCTGGAGACAAGGGCGCCTTTGTGGTATGCTTTGAATGGACTCAATTGACTTTCACGGCGGATATACTAATGCGGAATGCAGCAAGCAACAAGACCGGTCAAGGCAAAGGCCCAAGAGAACAAGACCACACGTATGCCGCAGAACGAACTACTGGATCTTATTTACCAGTGCTTCCGCGAATACAAATACTGGCCTTTCAAGACGCTTAAGGCAAGACTCCGACAGCCAGAGGCATATCTCAAGCAGACTCTGGAGATGGTTGCGCATCTGGTCAAGTCCGGCGATTTTGCCATGACCTGGGAACTCAAACCTGAGGCCATGGAAAGCAACTACGCAAATGCGATGTCCTACGGCAATGCCAAGGAGGAGCTTCCTCCTGGAACCGACTACAACTTTGATGACGGCTCCGAAGAAGAGGCCAATGCATCTGGCATGGTGTCAGATAACGACGAGATGAAATTTGAGGACATTGTCTAAGAAGTGGAGATAAATGTAGCATAAGCAAGGTCATGGCGTTCTTTTGGGGTTTCTGGGCACATGTAAAGGACGTTTGGAGTTATCTACTCTGGTATCACATAGCTAAGATTCACCGTCAGACTGGGTGGTGCATCCGTGAATAAATTACATCAATCTCATAGTGAGACTTACATGCATTGCTCTCTGCAAATTATCACTATTCTAAGCGATAGCTCATAGGAGACGTGAGGCCTTAAGCCACAAACCATCCCCCCTCAACAGTAGGGAGTATCTGCTCACGTGACAGTGATAACGCCACAAGTTGACCATCTCATGGACCTTCCTTCCCCAGAATGACACAAGAACACTTAACTGTTCCTGCAACTTCTCATCAGCTAGTAGAAAGACAGAGTCTTGAGCATATGTGCACAACTGACTTTGGCTCTTTCTGATACAGCTAGGCCAACATGACAGAAGATGAAGAGTTGATGGCTAAGATCAGCCAGCTTGCTGGTAAGCTTCCTCACTACTATCAGCTCATTTCCCCACCACCAGCTGATTCTCTCTAGGCCAGATCAACAGGCACAAAAACCAAACCCCTCAGGCACATGCACATCCTGATAGCGAGCTTCATGCTGCTCCGTTTGTGTCACGACACACTCGCGCGCGTGCGGGATGGGTGCCGTATCGCGGACGACCATATGGACGCGGACGTCCTGCAGCTCCCCATCGCCACCGTACTCTCGTCATCAATAACGCGAACTCAGGGAACTCTGCCAGTTCAACACCCGGGCCAACGAACGAGAATGTTGGCGAATCGCGATCGGCGACGCCGAACGGCTGGGTTGCGAAACGCGACCGTCATATGCAGCTGATCAACTCGGCTATTTACGATAAGGAAGCACAGGCCAGAGCGAAGGCGATGGAGCAAACGCGCAAGGCCAAAGCCGAGAAAAAGGCACGGATCGAGCAGGCCAAAGTTCTCCGTTACGCGCAGGGTTTTGGCAGACCTCACCCTGCTACTTCTCTCGCTCCTCAGGTTTCTGCCACCACCCAACCCCAGGGTGAATATCAGGTCTATCTGAATGATATTCCTTTCAAAATCGCAAAAGGCGGCAGTAAACTAGTTCGCGTATCCGGTGGGAATTCCTTCTGTGCTGCCGTGGCCACAAGAACTGGCTTACCTTTAGTAGATGACCCGAATACTGCCAACAACACACCAAAGAAAGTAACAGTTGCTGGTGTGACTTTTGTCCGGAGCAAGAACGGAAATCTTCATCGACTCGGAGCGGTGACCTCCAAAAGGTGATGTTTGCGATATCTTTTTAAGAGCGTTAAGAACTCACAGTGATCACAGAAAGCCGACAGCTGTCAAGAAGAGAAACGAGCTTTGCAAACGATTTACTTCGACGGGTACCAGCACTTCCCCAACCAGGCTTCCGCCCCTTCTTTCATTAATCTTCCGCAATCTTACCTTGTTCACTTGTTCACGTTCTATTTACTACTATTTGATCTGTCAGGGCTGATCTGATCTGTCTACATTTAGGCGCCTGTTACAAAGGACCCTCATGTCTCTTCATTCACGACCCGAATAAAGTCGCCATTTGCAAGGAATTTTTGCAGACTGGTAACTGCAACGCAGGTCAAAATTGCGATTTGTCCCATGAACCATCGCCCCACAGGTCCCCTGTTTGTGTGCATTTTCTGAGGAATCGGTGCTCGAATCCACAGTGTCGATATTCCCATGTGCGAGTGACACCTGGCGCACCCGTATGCAGAGATTTCGCAAATCTAGGATACTGTGACAAGGGCGCTGATTGTGAGGAACGACATGTTCACGAATGCCCAGATTACGCTGCCACCGGCGTCTGCAACAAGAAACGCTGTCATCTGCCCCATGTTGACCGAGCCGGGCAAATTCGAAAGAATTTTGCTAGTAAAGCAGATCCCATGGACGAGGAAGAGTCTGACGAGTCAAGCGAGGAAGAAGAGTGCGACGCAATCGACTCGGATGACGTTGACTCTGACGACCTCGAGGATGAGCCTGAATACGTTGAAGGAGCTGACAATGACGAGCATGAGCTCTTCCAGCAACATGACTTCATCCGCTTCTAAACTGTACATGCTAACCCACTCTCTTGCACATATGCGCAAGCTTCGTAAATGAGGACTTCGTTGATTCGCACTGAGCGACTCACAGTGGGAGTCAGTGATCCCCATCTTATCGATCAACGTAATTGATTGGACATCTGTGTTTCTCTCGTTATGGCCCATGAAGGGTCTTGTTCAGCGGGCGGAAGACGATACCCCTTAGTATGGCTTCATGGTTTTTCACAATTCAGGATGGCTTTGACGGGTGGCTTTTTGTTTGAGATTGCTTCTTAGTTTGGGCGGGAGGAAACTTGCGGTTTGATACATGGTTGCAGTAGATAGTCAACAATGGAATGATTGCTTGTTCTTGGCTATGGTGCTCTTGCTTCCGACATCTTCTCTCAAAAAAGTTTCATACGAACGATCAAAGCGAAGTCGAATACAAGGCCCTCATCTGAAGGGATCTCCACGACCTCCCTAGACTCTGGGGAAAGTGCTACTATCCGTTTTGCGTCCCCCAGACATTCCTTAAGGTGTGAGTCATAGGCTAATAGCAGCTGCAACGGAGTCAGGTACCCAACTCACCCGGGTGGGTAAGACCATATCATGGAAACAGAGCTGGAAGTATGGAACAAACGAGAGACCCAACCACAAGTTACTACGCTGCAGCCCCCACAGCCATCACAGATCCTCAATGCATAGGCCTACGTTTGTGCCTGAACTTCCGGTAGTCTAGCAGGCTAGCCGCCAACTCCATCCCTGAAGCTGAAACCTGACAGACTCTGAAGAAGACCCACTGAAGATACTGAGTAGTGCCTACCTAGTCCTTTGACAAATCACCGTCATATCGTCTTTTTACTTTTACTCTTACCTCGCGCAGACCGCCAATGGTCTCGTGCTGGCAAGCTGCACAGGCTTCCGCATGCCATGCCATGCCATTCTGGGACTAGATAGGGGTTGTTGTGAGGTCCTTGTATACCTGAGCATACAGGACTTACTGAGTAATGACGATTGATGGGTTTCTGGTTTGTGATCCGTCTCCCATGCTATCTAAGTAGTCTACATGTTGTTCTTGTGTTTAGTAGAGTGTTCTCCTGCTACACCGATCTTTCGGCGGGGACTGTAAGACGCGGGGGAGTTTGACTTGTAGAGCACTTTGGGTTTTGATGGAGGTTGGAATCGAGATGAGTGGCTGGATGTCATGGTCCGCGAAGATGAGTCGGGTCTGGGGATTGCGCGGCGCGTAGCTTCTATCTCGTCGCTGCGTTGACCGCTATAGATGGGGATTGTAAGCTGGGCTGATGTCGTTTGTCTATGGTAGAACGACCGAGAGTGGATTCTGATCGGTTGTGATGCTCTGAGCAGTGAGGAATCGAATGGAGTAGCTACCGGCCTTGAGGTTGTAAACTTGCATCACGCCTGACCTTTGAAGTTGAAGAATACGACACGACACTACCAAGGGTGCAATTTGGCGCATAGGCTGTCGTTCTCGGGTGATAACGAAGGATTGAGGATTTGATGGTAATGTTGGCACGTTTGAAGCCTTGGGGACTACTCTGCCAGGAAAGCTTATGATTACAGTATCATGCCCTTGCAGAGCACAACAATGGCAAATTGTGAGCATCATTGCGATGGGAGGTGTTCCTGAAGCCTGCAATAACCAGAATGCTCATAATCGCCAGGCCAATTCCAAGGCAACGGGGACTTAAGATACCGCAATAGGTATCATGTCTCCGACTCAAGCCAGGACATACCCCTGGCCGATACGGTGGTGAGGATCTGAAAGAAACTCAGTGGTCTTCATGTTTGTGGGCCAGATGATAAGCTCGAATATGTGCCTCATTGGATGCCATAGGATGTCTATGGATTTCATTTTCCATGGCGAGCGGTGCTGAAAAAGCACTTCGTTGAGTACGACAATAGAACAGATCGCAATGAGGGTTGTATCATCTTCTCGCCTCACTTGGCCATTCTGGAAAAGCGCAAACGCAAATTTAGCACTGTGCTTAGCAGGATCTAGCGAGATACGTCCTGCTTCTGTTGCCCTGACGTTCATGGTATGACTGTATGGTCAAGAAGCAGAAACAGGACTTCGCTGTCGGCGGTATATTCGGACATGCTCAGTATGATACTACTTTCGAACTACTAGCCTGAAAGAGAGAATCGCGTAAAATCAACTCACAGGCTACGTACTCCATAGCAATTTCGGGCTCTCCACCGAGTCTTCTTCTGCTCTACAATTGGGTCGATCCAGCATGTACACCGCCAGAAGGGCAACATCCGCAATCATCGTCGCCGACTGGCCGCAAAAAGGTCATATCCGGCGTTATTCCAATTTCCTGTCTGAGAAAGAAAGACGACGACTTTCTGAGAAAGAGAAAGACATTTGCACGTAAATTGTCCGGTGCTATAGGGTTTCACGTGTTCAGCGTTGATGGGTGGACAACCCGTTGGATTGATTCCGCCCGCTTTTCTTAAGTTCCCTGAACAGTTGATGAAGTCAATGTTTCAAGGTAGGATTTGGATCTGATTTGCTCGACTGTGTTTGGAGAGGGTAAGACACCTCGCTGTTATTCAACAAGTGTTCTGTTGTCTGCACAATGGCATTTGTCTCTCATTCGTAGCACGTGGAAGGTACTTCAGCCTTATTTCGGGGTCAATGTTCACAGAGGTGTTAATGACCTCTAGTATCGTTTCATCAAGGTGTCATTTCGCCAATTCAGTGCCAGCGACAGGAAAAGCGTGGCACTAACCAAGAATAGTTGACTTGCGTATCCATCTACTCCACGCTGTTGACAATGGGCATCACCTGGTCTTGATCATAGCTTCGAACATCATGTATGCTACCCGAAACAGCAGCTGGTCGTCGTGCTTCCTCATTCGGAAATGGAAAAGAACACGGTGCTTCGAGAAGAGTGAGTCATACTTGCTCTTCTGGGGCTGTGGAGTCCCTAATTCCGTTTCATCTCATTGCTATGGAGACGCATGATGCCATGCTATATGCCAATAGGCTGAAAGCCAGGCTGATGGAATAGGGTTGCTGGCAGGAACTGGGCCTCAACACCGCTACCCGTGCTCAATTCCTGGATGCCAGTGCTGAAGTGGATGTAGGTTGGTTCGTGTTCCTATCAAACGGTCCGTGAGAGGCGATCGTTTGGAGCGACTTGATTTTCAAGGCGTTTTGGCCAACTTCTTCCTAGGTCGATCTCATGGTATAGCATACCTAATTAGACGTTCTATCACAATGCCAGTCGAGGGCTTACGGATGCATGCACAGGACTTGTGTTCTTGAGAATGCTAAACTGCCGATAAAGAGCATCAGCAATTGTCATGACTAGGCAGTGGCACGAGCCATATCCCAGCGACAAATGTATTGCAGGTCCCGGGTACCGATCACCAGTTGCAGGCGGGATCTGCAAGACATACCGTAAGGGCATATTTGCGATCCATGACGGAGTAGAAATTGTCCTTATGAGAGAGTATCATGATATTATTACTAGGCTTGACATGAACAAGCTGATGGTTAGCTCTTTAGCACTCGTCTACAGTCAGGTTAGCCAAGTGGCTCGAGAGGACAGGCTCGGGAATACACTTCGACCCAAAACTCGCCTTATCTCTGCATGAGAACCAGATTGACGGAAGTTGACCTTGTGGTAGCTCAGAGAACTACCTGCTAATGGCATTGTGACTTAAATTCCCCGACTTTCGTGCAGTAAAGCAATGGTGCCTTATTTGAGTTAGCCCTCAGCTAGACAAAGTATGTTCAGTTCGGTGTCAGTCAGGCTCATTTTTGGACTAATGCTCATCCATGCTAATGGGGATTAGACAGAGTCAGGAAAGGAGTCAGCTGCTACGTGGAAAGAAACTCTGAAAGGTTGTTCGTGTAGACATTCGGCGGCTAGGCAAACTGATAAGAAATAAGGCAAGGAAAGTAATTATACAGAATCACAGATTATGAGCTTTACTATGCAAGATGCACAAGATCAGTACCTAGGAATGAGCATGATCATCCTCGTAAGAATGGCAAAGTCTGTGCTGCCCGTAGAGGATCGAATCCGATCTGTCTGTGCTTTCCTGCATCCGCTCTGCTTCCGCGGGCGGCCATCTTCCAGTGAAAGAAGCACGGGCAGAGCAGTGACAGACAGACAGAAGAGGACCATCATCTTGGACTAACCAGAAATGAATAAAAGGGCCTTTGAGTGGATCATGGAATGAAATTGGGATCAATGGAACTTACCTGCGGGCCGGCCCTACTTACTGTTCCAGAATTGGGAAGGTCATGTCAGTGTAGCGACTGACTATGGCACCAAGTATGTCTTCATGAGTGTACGGTGTGGAATTGCCTCCAATTCAACAATAACCACACCCGGATTGATTCCCGAAATGAAGTTGGTGAAGCGAGCAATGAGCTCGACGGATCAGACAGCTGAATGGGATCAACGAGGAACAGTGTTCCTCAAAGGGTACTTTTGACACGGACTTAACCTTCTACCCAAATCCCTGGGAAACAGGAACCGAGGGAGCTGCAAACAGGGTTAGAATTTTTAATATTCACTTCCTCAAGGTCCGTGAGGACGTCACACTGCTTGTCGAACGATTGGTCCTGCCGTTCTGAAATGAGGGAATCATGATACTGTCTTGTATGACATTCTGTTCATCTGATCAGTACCTTGTCCCAGGATTCTTTTCCTACTTTGGCAAAGATCCAAGTCTAGAACGGTACAGTAATTTATGAGCACTGGACCAGATTGATTGTGATTCATCGTCCAGCACTCCGTATACTTGATGCTTGGTCGATCATGGGAGCGGTGGACGATTCAAACAGTCGCTGGTTAGTAAATGATGAGCGCACAGACAATCAACTGTCTTTGGGCAGCATTCAAGATTCACAGCCGATGGGCCCAAGACGGCAATATCTTCTGTATTCGTTTGATGACTCGCGATGTGCCAATGAGTCTTGTTCAACTTGAGACAAAAGAACGACCATTTGGGGTGTTTTGATGAACCTATGAAAAGTTCACCAT